CCCCCCCCCCGCCCCCTGTGCCCCTCTGCCGGTGGCCAGCGCTCCATGGTCGCGGGCCGGGCGGCTTCTGATGGCCCGGCGCAGGCCGCGACCGGTCGTGCGACCGTCCTGCTCGGTGGACATATCGACTCGCCGCCCCGGCCAACCTCCCGCCGCGTCTGTTGTCCCTGTCGGCTCCCCCGGGTCGTGCTCGGCTGCCCTGCGGCCGGGCAGGAGGACACATGCACTGCCGGCCTGGGCAGGGCCCCGGCTCGGGGCCCCGGGGCGCGATATGTGTTCGAGTGTGGTGTATTGTGGCAAGGAACATGGGGAAGTGCGTAGGCCCTCTCGCTTCTGCTCGCGCTTTTTGTCGCCCTTCCTCCCCTCCTTGGCCGCCTTTCGTGGCGAGCGCCGAGCCCCGAGCGAAGAGGTTGCGCCCGCGCGTGTGGGATGGCATGGCTCCGCCGTGGGGAATCTCGCTGTCTCGGGGCCGACGGCGCGGGGGAGGAGCCAAAGCGGCTGTGGACGGCGTGGCCGGGCATCGGGAGGAAGACAACACGAGCAGGGGGGGGGGTATGGCGCAGGTGTCGGGCCCCGGGAAAACTAGGGGGAACCGACACCCGCCCGAGCGGCGGCGGCGGCGCGCCCCAGCGGCGGTCTCTCCCGCCTTCGCCCACATCCAGGACCGGCGATGAGCAGGGGCGGGGCGAGGGGCGGGGAGCCACCACGGAGAGGGGAGACGTCGCAGTGGCTCGCTACAAGAGCCAGGGCGGCAGTGGGATCGAGGGAATGGAGGTAGAAGAGAAAGGCGGCGACGTGAAAGGGAGGTAGGAGGCGCGGAGGGGGGGGACAGGGGGACCGGGCGCTGCATCTCGGAGCCGCGACCTGCGCTCCCTGCCCGCCCCCCTCGCTCCTTCGTGCGTGCGTGCGTCTGCGCGCCCTCTTTGATGCTGGTGAAGAGCCGCGCGCGTGCGCGCGTTACCCCTGGACGGAGGAGGCCGCACATGCGGACGGCAAGGATGGATGGCGGTGCCAAGAAGAAGCGGAGCCATTTGCCAGGAGGGGGGGGGGCGGGGGAAGGCAGAGGGGACACTAGTACACGCGCCAGCGGGTGAGAATGGCCACCAGGATTTGGACCTGGCGCTGGAGGTTCTCGATGGGGATCATCGAAAGGAGGTCGGCCAGCTTCTCGGCGGGGGGCTTGCCCTTGGCGCCGGCCGGGTCGTCTGGGCAGCCGGGCTTCCGCGAGCGGTTCGGGCCGCCAACCGGGCTAAGCAGGTCCCCGGCCTCGGTGCCGGCCACGCTAATGTGGCCGTTCATGATGCGCACAGCGGCCAAAATGACGGACAGTTGCTCGTCACGCTCGCCTGTGCGTGCGTGCGTGCGTGCGTGTGTGTGTGTGTGTGTGTGTGCATGGGAAGGTGTGTCAGAAGGTATGCCGACGGCGCGCCGGAGGGAGCACCCCTCGCAGTGGGCTGACACGTGCGCGATGGCGGGAGAGCGAGCGACGGAGAGGGAAAGAGCGAGCGAGCGAGCGAGGGAGGGAGGCAGGCAGGCAGGCAGCGAGGGGTGGCAAGGCAAGAGGGCCAAAGGCAGGCGGGCCTGCCTGGCCGGCTGTTCGCGGGGCCTCCACGCACGCGAGGTGGGGCAGCTGTTGATGAGCTGCTCCAGATCCGAGGGGGCCCAGCTGTGCGTCAGCAGGGTGGCCAGGAGCTTGAGACCGCCATGGAGCGGCGAGTCCCGGCCGAAGAGGGTCTCCGGGTTGTCGGTCTCCTGGAGCACGCGCAAGATCTCCTGCTGCAGGTGGGCCGCCGACTGGTCGATGCTCCGGGTGATCTGGTCGTGCAGGTTGATGGGTGCTGGCCGGGTGGCGAGCGAGCCGCCGCGCAGGCCGCCATTCGAGCCGCCGGGCCCGTGGCCGCCGGCCTCCGGGCCAGACAACCGGGCTCCATGCTGTCGAGGGAGCCGAGAGACCACGGCATCGGTCAATGGACGGGTCGGGTCGGGCCGGGTGGGCAGGCGCAAAGGGAAGGAGAGAGGCGGAAAAAAAAAGAGCCCCAGAAAGACGGCATCTCGCGGGACAGGACCAAAAGCGCGTACCTTGGCAGCACGAGCACGCAGGGCCTGGATGTTGGCGGCCTTCAGGACGTCGTCCAGGGCCGCCGGGTGGCCGATGGCCCGGAGGACCGGCTCGACCACCCGCTGGTAGACGAGCCACCATTCGAGCAGCAGGTGCAGTGCCTCGCTCGGGGAGCTGGCGGCATCGACCTGGTCCTGGGTGCTGGGGCGCGGCTTGTTCCAGGGCTTGGTGGCGCCGATGAAGTGGACAACCTGCATGGCGGCCGGCGGAGGGGCGCCCGATGTCAGTCACCCGTGCACAGGACACACGCACACACACACACACACACACACACACACACACACACACACACACACACACACACACGCGCGCGCGCGCGCGCGGCCGGGCTGGGCCCCATGAACGTACCGAGATGTCGCGGATGTACCGGCGCAGGGCCGGTGAGTAGGAGTAGAACTCGGTCGGGACCACATTGAAGCGGTAGCTGAGCCGCTGCCAGTTGAGGAAATAGTCATTGAGCAGGCCCTGGTCACCGCCATCGAAGGAGGCCCCGGCCTCGGCGGCCCGTGCCAACAGCGAGCCATACGTGCTGGCGCTCGGGCGCAAGACCACAACACCGGAATTGAAGCAGTCCGGCCAGCCGATGTCCGGCGCCGCGGCCACATTGCCCACATCCGGCACCAGGGGCGCGGCAAACAGGCAGTCCAGCGGCCGGAGGACCAGGGTATCGGCGTCCAGGAAAACCACCTGCATCGCGACAAGGCCCGAGGGCAGGCCGGCGGCGGGGGGGGGTGGTGGGGGGGGGAGGGGAGCAGCACCCGGGGCAGCCGAGGGCCGGTCAGTATGATCGTACATGGGCAGGGGGCTCGGCCCCGGGGGAAGAGAAGAGCCCGGGGCCCTCTGCGCACCGTGTCATATTCGGTTAGGTTCCAGGCTTCGATCTTGGCGAAGGTCCCGCCGAGTTCCGGGCGCCCGAGCAGCTGCAGTGCCGCCGCATCGCGCGAGTCGTGCTCCGGAACCGGGACCACCTGGTCGAAGAAGACCGCCAGCAGGGCCAGCGACTCGTCCTTGAGCCCGGGTCCGACCAGGGCCACCAGGGCCGGCCGGGCCTTCAGCCGGGGGCCGGTCTCCGCCGGCGCCGGCCTGTCACCAGACGGATACCGGGGCAGGACCGGGATATCGGCCAGCTGGTGCACGCTGGCGGTCACCGCCTGGCGGGTGCTATGCTCCGGGGCCAGGGTGGGCACGAGCCCGTCCGCAGTGGGGGACCCATGCAGTCGGAGCAGACTCCCGGCCAGGGCCAGGGCGCCGTGGACATACGAGTCCGTGTAGACCAGCGTGCAGAAGGCCTGCTTTCCCATGAGGTCGAAGGGGGCCGAGGGGCTGGCAGGGAGGGCGTCGCCTCAGGTGCGGGGGTTGCCGGGGGGAGGGGGGGGGGAGGAGGGAGGCAAGGAGGCAGGCGCTGGCTCCTTTTTCGACAAGGCGCGGTCACACACACGGACACACACAGACGACGGTCTCGCTGTCGTGGTCTTACGCTCTCTCTCTCTCTCTC